GGTCCAGTGGGAGTCAGCCAAGAGGTGCTTCAGTACAGTGGTCTGTTGGCTGTGACCTGGGCCCCTTGGTGCTTAGCTCTTGCCTTGGGTCAGTCTACTTAAGAGTCAATGGGCCAATATAACTCTGGCAAGTTAATATAGCCCTAGGGTGCCTGGCCTGTTCAAAATCCCAACATGAAAATCAGTGACCATATTTAAAATGTGGCAGTGGTGTGTGGCTTGGGACAATAGAGAAGGGTCTGTGCTCAGGGCCTGGCCAGGGAAGTAGATTCCATCTCTCCTGGATGCTGCTGCTGCAGTGGGGAGATGACCCTCCAGGGCCAGTGCAAGGCAGCCACCAGATCTGAAGGAGGCAGGGGAGTACAAATTACCTCCTGAGGCTATTTGTCCTAGAGAAGGAAGAGCCATCCAGGGTCCTGATCACTTGTAATTACCATCGCTGATGGGCTATCAGGAGTGGAAGTGATGTGAGGCCCCATGACAGAACCAGACCTTATGACGGAAGTTGTGGGGAGCAGGTTTCAACTCGGAGTAAGGAGGATCCTTCAAAACAGTTATAGACTCATGGGACAAGAGTGGGCAGCCACAGAGATAACCCCCCCCGCCCCCGCCATCGCCTCACGCCAGAGTCCACTCATTACGCAGGCCCAGGCTGGGGATCAGACTCCCCAGGCCCACACACAGGAACCACAGCAAAGCCCACAGAGCCACATGGGACCCACTGGTCCTCCTGCCCAGGAAAGGGGCAGAACCACTCCAGGACTGAAGCCCCTGCCCAGCTACCCATGAACTTCTAGGCTCATGACCAGTGAATATTTACAGACTGGACAGTTTTTTGGCAACCAAAATTTTACCAGTAAGACCTATTTTCTTTATGGATCCAAATCTAAAATTTTTAAAGACTGTGCCTTTTGAAGAGAAAACTTCTCTTTCTGCACTGTGAGAAGAAGCAGGATTATTCTTTGGGGTAGGGAGTTCTTTGTTTTACCGTACTTTTAGCCTCAGAGAACCAGATAGTGTCAGCGCTGAGGGACCGACCCTCAGGCTAACCCAGCAGCTCTCCACCATGGATACACCATAGGACCAGCTCAGGGAACTTTAAAAAAAAAATACTGCCCTAGGACTCACCTCTCAACCCCCTGGGGTTCTAAAAGACTGAGTCTCCTGGGACCCAGGCAGCTGTATTTTCTAGAAGTTCTCTCTTGACTCAAAGGCCCAACCACTGGAGCCCCCCAGTACAACTTGCAGATGAAGAAAGTGAGGCTCAGAGAAAGAGTGGCCACAGAGCAAGCTGGTGGCAGTCTGCAGCAGGGCCTAGGGACAGGGAGCCAGCCAGTGACAGACCCAGTGCTGCATCCCCTCCCTCTGCCAGACCTCCACATGGACCTTCTTTCCCTCTGTTCTTCCATTTGCCTGACTGGGTGGTCACAGAGGCACCTAGCACTTCCAGCTTTTAATGCATGTGTCAGCTACTTATTTGGATCTAGACTGGGCCTTGCAAGCCTATGCCTGTGGATCAGGACATCTGTACAAGTTATTTTTTTATATTTTTGTGTCTCCAGCCCCCAGCACAGAGCTTGGCACATAATAGGTGCCCAATAATGTTTGTCCAATGAGTGAAGAAAGTAGTAAACTAGGGGACTTAGTGTAATATCTCTGCAGCTCCCAGGATGGCCAAGACTATCTCAGTCAAGGGTGTGGGAATAACTTCAGCCCACAAGGATTCTTTATAATACAATTCCTGGACCCAGGAATACAGCAGGCACTCAGTAAATGTGGGCAGGATGACAGGCAGTCCTACTCAGCATCAGAAGTAAAAGTGCACTGGCTTCAGAACCAAGGGACCCAAGTTCAGGTGCCTGTTCGGTCACTTCCCAGCACGTGTGTTAGAGGGGTTACTTAATTTGTTGGAGGGCCTTCCCTCCTGTGGACTGGGGAGCTATGCGCACTCAGGGTTTACTATTAAATGCAGCATCTTACAAAGCACCCGCAGCCCCAGGTACTGCCCGTAGGGAGAAATTATGGTGATTATTGCCATGTTAGAAGCTGAATCTGACTTCAGAGCCAGGGGATGGGACCTTCAGCAGGGCGTGTGAATCAGGGACAAGCTGTATGGCTGGGGGCGCAGTGGGGTGCCAGCTGTGCCACTTCCCACCTCCTGATGATTTATTCCTATCAGCTTGCATATTTCATGTGCTGCCTCCCCACGCTGAATAAATAAATCAGGGCCTCCTCCTCCCAGCGGCAGGAGTTGATTTGAGGGCTTCAAAAGGCCAGAGATGGGATGCTGGAGCCCCTGGCAGAGTGTGCTAATGTGATATTTAGGAGCCAGGTGACTCAGGCAAGTGACAGCTACCTACACAGTGTGATGTGACCCCCCCCAAAAAAAATGGTAGTAGCTCCTGCAAGGGAAAGAAAGTCACTTTGACAGTCCCTCCCTCCCATGCAGCCAAAGGAAGCAACAGAAGTGCAGCCTGGGGAATTCCCTGTTCCATTCCTGAGTGCTTTTCGGGGACCAGCAGTGCACCTGTGCTTCTGCGAAGAGACTTGTTCAGACCCAGAGCCCAGACTGCAGTCTCCTGGGGGCTTCCTGGAATTCCTCTATAAGCTCAGGGCTTCCTGCTAGCTGGGGTCTGCAGCTCTGGGGACCCTCTGCACCATGGGGAGGAGAGGAGCCTCTTCTCTGCAGCTGTTACATTCAGGAGACACAGGTGGCAGCCTGTCAAGTAGGCAGGTCGGCACAGAACTATCATCTTGCAGGGATCGCATCCTGGCAGTCCCCTGTTGAGGAGAGCATGGGATGTGGGAAACACCAGAGTTGCAATCTGGGCTCTGTTCCTAGTGTTAGTGGGGCCCCCGGGCAAAGCCACAACCGGTTCCATTTCCTCATCAGTGAGATGGGACTGAGTCCTCCACACACTAGAGGAGTTGAACAAGGGAATGGACGTGAAAGAGCCACGTCAGGCCCACTGTGTTAGTCTGTACAGACATTATAACAAAATACCTGGGCTGGGTGCTTCCTAAAGAAAAGAGGTTTGTTTAGCTCACAGTTGAAGAGTATGGCGCTGACATCTGCTCAGCAATGGTGAGGGCCTCGTGGCAGAGAGAACCACAACAAAAACAAAATAAGAAAAGGAAGAAAAGAAAAAACAGATAGACTCACAATGATGGGAGCACCTGCCGAAATGGCAAGAGGCACGTGGGGAGGACAGGCACATGGGGAGGAGGGCTTCATGGGAGGTGCAGGTGCCTCATCCTCCCAAGAACTAACCAGGGTCCCTTTTGAACCACATAATCCCACCCGAGGATGACACCCCCCCCCCCCCGATGACCTACCTGTCTTCCACAAGGCTGCCTCTTAAAGACTCAGCACTGCTACACTGGGGACCAAGTTTCTAGCACATGAGCCTTTGGGGACACACTCAGACCATCCCCCAACCATAGCACCCACTACAGGGGCTCCCAACCTTGTCAAGGCCTGCGCTACCCTGGGGTTCTACTCTCCCCTCCCATGCTCCCTGTCCCTTGCTCCCTCCTTCTGACCCCACCTCTCCCTGAATCTGCTTCACCCATGGTCACCAGTATCCTTCACACACCATATCCACTGACCCCAGCCCAGGGGCTTGTCACACCAGCCTCTCAGAGGCACGTGACAGTGCTGGCCTGCTCCATGGGGAAACCATCTCTATCCTTGGTTTCTAAGGTGCCCACTCTCTCCCAGCACCCTGCTCCCGACATCCTGGCCTCTCCTTCCCAGTGTCCATTTAGAGCAGCTTTCTTCTGCTCACCCCCAGAGGTCAGTGCTCCCCTAGTGCCACATTTCCCTGGGGTCCCATCCCTGATCCCCTCAAGTTCCCAGCTTCTGTGCTGTTGTTTCGAATTCCCTGTCCTTAGCCTGTACCTTTGCCCTGGACTCCAGACCCAAGGAGGTCTCCACCTGGGTGATCCACAGGTCCCTCAGGCTCAAGACATCTCTCCCATCATATATGACTCCCTTCTGAGTTCCCCACTCAAGAAATGATACCTGAGCTCCCCTAACCCCACCTGGGTGACTTCCCTGTCTCCCATTCATATCCTATTTGATCATCCAGTTGTCCCTGTTTTACCTGGAAGAAAAGAAACCTTTACCAAGCCTCCCCCTACCCGTTCACTTTTCCTATCACCACCCTGGGCCAGTCCTTATCATCGTTACCCTTGACAATGACCGAAATAGTGAACTAAACCCACCAAGAGAATAGTAAGAAGCTGAAGGTATATGTGAGTGTGCCCTTGGGTTTGAAAACACACTGAACACATGTATGTAAAGAAGCAAGGTCAGGGAGACACTGAACAGTAGGACACAGCAGAGCAATGTGACTTCTGACAGATACAGTCACCTAAGGATACGCTGATGGGATTCTAATGTCCAGAATGAGGCAGGGAGGGATGGTCCCCTCTTCTGCCACCGACCGAACCATGCCTGAAATACACAGGCCAGCCCTTGGGTCTGCACTTGGGACATTGTGGGCATGGCTCAAGGAGGGGCCTGGATGGGGTGGAAGTAGAGTGATGTTCTAGAAGGAGGGTTTGGAGTTGGTGCCGTGGGGCTGCTCTGTCTGGGTCCTGAGCCTTTAGCTTTGTCCCAGGCCGAAGGAACAGAAGAGGTCTGTGTGGTCCAGAAGCTAGAGCCAGCTGAGCTCTACCCTCTGAGGAAAGTCTCAGAGACCGCTTAGCTCAATGATCAGCAAGAACTTGGTCACAGATGCAGTCCTCTTGGGGCAGTGGGCTCCTCATCATTGAGCTGTGTGGTGCAGGATGGACCCCAGGTGAGCACACGGTATGGGAGGAGCTTTCAGCCCAAATCTGTTGGAGGCTTCGTGATCTAACTAGAAGGGGTGTTCAAGGAGGAAAGCCTGTGAGAACACAACCAGGGCTAGAGGAGAAGCAATAGTGGGGCCAGGATCCCCCAGACACAGCCCAGGACCCTCATCTAATAGGCCACTGTCTCTTGCTTTCCACAGACAGCCGGGAGGTGAAGGTAGGCGAGTACAACGCTGTGGCTGACACACTGGAGATCATCAATGACACCATCAGGTTCCAAGGTAAGGCAGGTGGGCTTCTCAGAGGAGGGGTACTCAGTGGCTCCCAAAATGACATTGTCTGAGGGTTGGGATAAGCTCAGAGGCCTTGGCTTCATGGGGTCAACACATACACTCAGAGTAGAGTCTCAGTCACTCACATAGGTTCCAACTCCTAGCACAGGTCACTGGAATTTGCATGGAGGGCTCTTTGACGTGTTTAAACCATTGCGTGGCCAGAAGGAATTCTTTTAAAATGTGACCCAGCTAAAGTTAGCATTGTCTCCTCCTCGGGGTGGGGGGGACGTTTGGTTGAACGGGCAGTGTAAGTCCATTCACCTGCTGTCTTCCTGAAAAATCACTCCCTCTCTTCTTTCACTAGAGAATTCCTCCTTGGTTCTAGAACCAGGCCAAATGACACTTCCTCTGTGCAGCCTTCCTTAATGGACCCCTGGCTAAGCTTTTGGCTCCTTTCTTCTTGTTTCCACAGTCATTTGTCTCTGGAATGTGGCCACAGTCACATTACATTGAAGTTACTAAGTTTTTGCCGCCACAAGCCTCTTTATGGACAGCCAAGGGTCTGTCACATGTTGGAAGTTTGGTGGTATTTGATGCAAATTAACACATGACTGATCAAGTGAGTAGATGGCTGGATGGATGAATGGTTGGATGATTACATGGATGGGTGGATGGATAGATGGATGGACAGCCTACCCTGGATGAAAACAGAGAGAGCTGACACATCCAGGCACTCAGACACTGTTATTTCAATTTGACTAGGCCAGCAGAAAACAGAACAGTTGGTTTTCTGTGCCAAGAGTTCCTTCTGAAACTCAAGACCATCAGGAAAAGCTCCTCTACAGACCCTTTGGCTGGGCTTTGTTGTATCCTTACTCTAGATCTAGAAAATTCATCTTTGAGAACATTGCAGTCTAGTTAGTCTCCAAGTGTGACTCTTTCACACTCAGGCCTCCCCACCCGACCTGAGAGAACTGTCATCAAGTGTGTAGTGACATATTACTTCATGGAACCACAGAAAAACTGATAAGTGCATGGGCAAGTCCTGATATCCCTGTTGCACAAATGAGAAAATGGCTCAGAAAGGGTGTCACCCCAAATTCACACAGCCTGTGAGAGGCATCCTGGACTCAGGAGATCGCAGTTTACTGAACAGAGATTCTGGGTTTAAAAATTCAAAGAAAAGGGCTTGGAGTGTATCTCAGTGGTAGAGCATTTGCCTAGTATGCACAAGGCCATGGGTTCCATCCTTAGCCTGCCAAAGGAAAGGGAGGCAGGGAAGGAAAGAGGGAGGCAGGGAAAGAAGGAGAGAGGGAGGGAGGGAGGAAGGAAAAGTTCAAACGCAAAATAAAAAGTCATAAAACACCACAGAGGAAAAACAAGTTTTCCTGAGTGGTCCCCAGTGCTCACAGAGAAAGGGGTCATGCCACGTGCCATGGCCCCAAGGTCTCCATGAAGAACCCCCTCCCAACTTCCATGTCTCCTCTCACAAATCACAACCAAACTGCTTAGGGTTCCTCCAATGCTGACATCACAGTGCCTTGCCTGTGCTGTGCCCTCTGCCCATGCTGCCCTTCCTCCATGTCTTCCTAGGGATGGTCACTACTCTACAAATCCTGCAAGTCTCACTTCCACTCATCACTTTCTGGAGCCTCTCCTGGCTCTGCTCCCTGCTGGCTGCTTGGGCCTCAATGCCTGGTGTTAACACTCCAACTGGACCCAGGCAGTGAGGCAGATGGCACAATGGTTAGAGAGAGGCTTCAGAGTTCCACAGATACGGGCCAAGCCCTGCCAGAGTACCACTTTCTAGCAATGGAAGCTACTCAACACCTAGAAAACTGTTGCCTTTCTGTAAAACGGGGATAGTCTTATGTACCGTGAGGCTATTGGTTGGGGCTAGTGAGAAATCTCTAGAATCTCTATCTTACCTATAATTTAGAGATGGCCCTTGTATCTCTATATGAAAGCTCCATCTGTTCATCTCCACAGCATCTGTGAGTTGTCACTGTGCTTTTCCCTTTCTCCGTGGCCAGTGTGTAAGCTTCCAGATATGAGGGCAGGGACTGGGTCCTGTTCATCTCTGCATCATTGGCGCCTAGCACCGGGCCTGACAGGTGCAAAGTGGTTATCTTTTGGTGGGTGAGAGAGGAGAGGATGGACTGGGTGAAAAGCGAGAAAGAAAACTTCAGGCTGCTAACATGTCTCATCAGCCATTACCACAGGTTCCCATGACCTCTTAATGGAGGTGAACCTTGTAGAGGCGCCATTTTGAGGGCAGAAAACATGGTATCAGTTCTCTGGAGTTGTTCCTAAACAGTGAGCCCCATACTCACTAGTGATCATATCACCTTTGACCCAAACCTTAGCCTCTTTCTCAGGGCCCCAAGAAGGGTTTGTTTCCAACCATGAACCCCAGGACTGCTGTTTAGTTTGGGAGCTGTGTGTCTAGAGGTGTGTGCTGGGGTGGGACCAGGAGAAGTTTCTGGATGTTATGTCTATTTTGTGTCTGCCCTTGAAGTATCTTTTTTTGCTTTTGTTTTTTAGGCGGTATTGGCATTTGAACTCAGGGCCTAACACTTACTAGGCAGGTGTTCTGCCACTTGAGCCACTCTCCCAGTTCTGTTCGGTGTTGGGTATTTTCACGATAAGGTCTTGAGAACTATTTACTGAAGCTGGCCTCGAACCACAGTCCTCCTGATATCTACTTCCCAAATAGATAGGATTACAGGCATGAGCCACCAGTGCCCAGCTGAAGCCTCTTTTTTTATAAATACTACTTTCTATGGAATCCCTTAAGGCTTTTCCTTAACACACCAGCAGGCTCCTAGCTGTTTTCGAACCTGGCAATGTCCCTAGAATTCTTAGATGGCTCAAACTCTTATCCACTGAACGTTTCTAAACGCACTTAAACTTGCAAGCAGAGGTTTTTAAACACAGATTTTGGGGTTTCCACACCAAGCTGCCACTTCTGCCCATCCCCAGCTTGTCTCCTGGGAACAGAAACTACTCTCAGCATTACAATAGGGTCATTGTGACCCGTAGTGGGGCTCCCAGTCCTGGTCCTTCCCCTGCATCCAGTACGCTCCACATATCCCCACTGGAAGGGAAAGTCCTCATGTTTCCCAGTTCCACACAGAAATCAGACCTAAAACAGCAGCAAAGAAAAGAAGGCTGGGAGAGCACATCTCAAGTCGGACTGTACCTGGTAAAACTGTAGCATCACAGTTTTTGTAGCCATGCAGGGAGATTAATTTGTTTTGGGACCCTCAGGACCACCCCCCACCACCACCACCAGGAGCCCGGTGCACTGGAAGAGTGAGCCATGCAGCTCTGTAGGTACAGAGAGGAACGGAATCCCATAGCTTCAGTCCAGCCCTAGCCTGCAGGAAAGGGAGGTAGCTTCTGCCTTCCATGGTTAGCAAGTCTTGAAACAGAAAACCAAAGGGCTTTCATAACACAATGACCTTGAGGCAGAAAATCTGCAACCAGAGCACATATATGTCACCCTGGAATTGACAGGCAGGGTTTGTGCCCTGTTGAGGGGTGGTCATCTATCATGTAGAGATGGGAGCAGGGTCTGCGAGGCCAAAACCAAGCTCCTCGCCCCCAGTGGCACCCAGTGGTACCTGCTCACATCACCCACCCCTGTGCCTCCCAAATCATTGTTACCTTGGAGGATAAATGGTAATGGTTTCTCAACAGCATAATTAGACCAAATCAAATTCTAGTCTTCTAATGGCTATTTAATGCATCACAAATCCCTTACTGATTCTATTTGAGAAAGAAATAAGTCCTGGCTCCCTGGCTTAGGCTCCTGGCTGGGCAGAGCAGCCAACCACAGGATTGGCTCAGCCTGTGACAGGTGTGCTTTGCATAGGGTTGTGTGCAGGGGGTCTAGTCAGATGTCAAGGACTTTGAGGCAAGTATGTCCTTGGGAAGTGACTGTGCACTGGGATCTGCTGATGTCTTCTCCTTGACCTTGAAGGATCTGAGCCGCCAAAGGACAAGACCATCATCCTGGAGCAGCTACGGAAGATCTCCCTCCCTCTCTACAGCATCCTCTCAGCCCTCACCATCCTCGGCATGGTCATGGCCAGCGCCTTCCTCTTCTTCAACATCAAGAACCGTAACCAGAAGTAAGTGCCATGCCTCAGGCCTTCCTCGAGGGTCGTGCGCGTGGAGGCATGGCCTCACGGTCCGAGTACAGGATCATCTCGTGACAGGCTCTCTGGGGTCCGTTTCCTGAAGTGTATTACCCAGTTGCTAGGTCCATTTAGGTGGTATGCACACAGGCACACTAACATTCACTCACATACACACACGTACACACACTCACACATGCAGACACTCTCAGTCACACTCACACACAGAGGCAGGGTTGCTGATTGCACAGGAGTCTCTGGTCAACCATGTTTGGGGAAGGTTGAGTTAAATAAAATGGAATGGTCCAAGTCCATGCCTTCCCTGAACCCTGGACACGCTCAGCATTGGCGGTCTGGGAGCAAAGATATAGAAGACATCCCAGCTTCTTGGCCCCCATTCCAGCCCACTGGAGAGGGTCACCAAATTCAGTGACAGGGACACCCATTAGTATAGTGCATGGCAGCCCAGGAAGCTCCTCCCTTAATCAATCTCCTTGACCCTCCCTATCTCTCCCTGTGTGACACATGACAGCCTCAGAGCTCTGAGCCAGAGGGCTGCTGTCCGCCAGTGGCAGGGCCTGGCTTTGTTTCGATTTTTTTTTTTTTTTTTTTTTTTGTCACCAGCATGTATCCTACGCTCTCCCAGGGAAAGACCCACTCTGAGTTATTCTCAGCCGTGGGTAAGACTAGACCACTGCTCCATGCGGTGGTGGTGTTGACCAGGCACAGCCAGCTGCCTTGGTTTCCATGGCAAATCCCTGAACCCAGCTCCCACCCCACAGAGAAAGGCTGAGCAGGGGCTCAGAGCACGCACAATCCCAGGGCAGCCCCAGAGCCCACCCACGCAGCGCCATGGCTCTGCCATTGTGCCCAGAAACCACACTGTCACCTCACAAGCTTGCTAGGAGCAAGATCAATTCCAGAGGAACTGGTTTGTTTTGGTTTTGTTTTGTTTCGTTTCTCTCCCTCGCAGAGGCGGAACCGGGAAGCTCTTTGCTTTTATGGTTTGTTTGGTTTTTTTTTAAGTAATTGCTTAGGTCAGACCTATTTCCTGAAGAACAAAATACAGCTTTATTCCCTTGTTGTCTTATTTTATTTGTCACAATAATACGTATGTTGCAGGAAAAAAAATTGCATCAACTTTCTGTTCTCGATACAAACCTTAAACGATGCCTGCATCCAGTAGCATTTGTCTAGAGGCCAGGCAGGCAGTCCACTCTCAGAAAACGTGGCATTGCCTCCTGCATGCTGTGAGGCAGGAGCTCCTGTCAGAGTAGCAAGGTGTTCCCATCATAAGGTCACACTCCTTTAATTCCTTAACTACCCCCTCTTGGCCTCCTGGGGAAAATTATCATTTCTCTTCCACTAGGTGGACCCAAATGAATTTTTGACTGGCAAGTCTGCAAAGAGATAGGAAATAAATGTCTTGTTTCCAAATCCTCCTCTTCTGCCTTCCTAAATGATACTCATCTTTTCACGGACACCTTCACCAGGAAGCCCACCCCCAGGCCTGGCCTCCCCCTACCCAGCCTGCTATGGTAATGAGAATAGCAGGTCATAGTTTATGGAAGGATCTTGGGGACCCAGTGTGAGGAAACCTGGCCAGATTAAGCAACTTGATGACGGTGCACTGCTAGAGAGAGGCAGGGGCTCAGCCCTCGTCCCAGTGCTCCCAGCTGGGAAGCTTGTGTGTAGTCCACGCCCACAAAGCAGCAGTGGCTTTGAGAAAACATTGCTGGGAGAAAGAACGATGCTCCATAAACCCGTCACCCCCTTCTCTTTCTCTTGCCAGGCTGATCAAGATGTCAAGTCCCTACATGAACAACCTTATAATTCTTGGGGGCATGCTGTCCTACGCGTCCATATTTCTCTTTGGCCTCGATGGATCCTTTGTCTCAGAAAAGACCTTTGAAACGCTTTGCACGGTAAGTCCTGCTTGGACCAATGGTATGTGACACATGTGATAGCAGCTCCTGGGTGACAGTCACATCAGGCACATAGGCGCAAGCCTGGAGATGTGTGGCAGGACAGGGGTGGACAGGAAATGGCCCATTCAGCAGGTGTGCAACTCCACAATGTGTGTGATATCACTATCCCACGAAAGCACTGCTTGTGACATGAAGGTAATGGATTTCATGGGCTACGGCGGGAAATCAGTCCCCTGAGAAATGACTGTACACCCCAGAAAAGGGAGCAGAGAATTATCCTTGGGTCACTTAGGAGGAAACAAACCTTCTGTCACTTACAAACCTTCTGTTACCCTTACCAGCGGCTCGTGTGGCTGACCTTGAGTCATGGGTCAAAGTTGTCATCTTATTTTCCGTATAGTGGTGTTTCAAACCATTTTTCATGACTGCTCCCCTCAGGAGCCTTTTATACATTTTTTTTTTTAATAATGCCCCCATGGAGTTTTCATGTCAGAAATACACTGTGTAGGCACTATGTGTATTTCTGTGTTTTATGCATAAAGAGCGGTGTTTTTCACATTCAAGGGCCAGTGTTGACTCCCAAGGGACTTTATCATGCCCACTGCGGACATGTGTATTTAAGGAAACCCAACCAAGTATAATTTATTATATTTTAAACGATTGTTTCCCCCACCCTGTATTAGGGCTTGAACTCAGGACCTCACGCTTGCTACGCAAGCCCTCTACGACTTGAGCCATGTCCCCAGCCCTTTTTGCTTTTAATGTTCTTTAAGACACAGTCTTATATTTTTGTCCAAGCTGACCTCAGACCTCGATCCTCCTACCTCTGATTCCTGTGTAGCTGCAAATTATTTTGAAAATTAATTAGCATTCAAAAATCTTCAGTGCCCAAAGAAATGCCCCTTAGTTGTTTTTTAAAGAGGTTATGCACTGGCAATTAGCGGTTGACTGGAAGTAACTCTTGGCTGAAAGTCTCATCAGCCCACTTTTTATGACTCTGGTGACCTGGTGGGATTTATTTCTGGATTTTGACTACCGTGATCGCTCAGAACAGGGTGAGCCATTTGGCTCTCTTTATTGTCCCCCCATGCAGTAAGTCATCTAATCCTGTCTCCAGATGATCAGAGCTGGAGGATTGGTCAAAGCCTTGGTGTTGACCGGATGAATCCTAAAGCAACTCTTTGTAGTTTCTGTGTCTCTGGAGGTCGAGAGTCATGCGGGCCTGTTTTGCAAAGCTCTTCTTGGTCCCGTTTGCTGCTGTGAACTTTCTGCCTACTGCTGGGTGATGACGGGTGAAAGCTGGTAGATAGGGACCTAAACATGCAGCAATCCCTAAAATGTGCGGCAACCCCTCCCCTGCCAAACCTCAGACTTTCAAGGTTGCAACTAGTCTCCTGCTCTAGAAAAGCACATGGAAAGGAGGCAGCCCCTGGCTCCTGTGTTCTAGGTGATGGTCACTCCGGCCCATGATTAGATCAGACTGACTGCCGCACAATGTCAACAAATTGTTCATATTGGGATGGGCATAGTGGTACATACCTATAATATCAGATACTCAGGAGGTAACTTTTGCACAGGGGAAAAGTTAGAGAGACCCTATCTATAACAAACAAACTAGGGGCTGGCAGAGTAGCTCACGTACTAGAGTGCCTGCCCAGCAATCATGAGGCCCTGAGTTCGAACCCAGTACCACAGAAAAAAGTTCATATGATATTATCCATGCTTTCACTCTTCACTGTGTAGCTAGGGAGATGCCTGCAGATGTGCTTCTGTGAAGATGTGTGTAGTCAAGTTTTCATTACTGAGAAGGCAGTGGGGTCAGCCATGCTCGGACGCTTTCCTCTCCTGGGGCAGACCTGGAGGACAGTCACACCTTGAGCTCCAGGGCTCACTTGGCTCACTCTTGCCACTCAGCGTTTTCTGTTCCAAGTTTAGTGCTGCTTCTCCTGCATTACCCTGCCCCACCACAAGAGTCAAGCAGTGAACACAGGGGACAAAGCCCCTCCTCCGCTGACTTCAGGGCACTGGGAGCCCACTTCCAAAGACACTGAGCCACCCCAAAGTCCCTGTGGAAGTGGGTCAACTGGGTTTGTTTCCCAAAGTGTGTGCCCCCTCGTGCTGGAAGGATGACTGCCAGTGTGGGAGTGTTGTATTGTTCCAGAGCTGCAAGACCCGTTCAGCATCACTGGTGCCTGGAGCGATGCCTGGCTCCTCTGTGGGCTTTGTCAGCCTATGCTCAGCTCTCCTGGGCAATGGGGGACCTGAGTAAGGGGCTGCGGATTCTCTCTACTTCTGTGCTCCACAGTGCTTAGAGCCCCTCCCCAAGTCCAAGGACGCCGTGATGATAATAATGGGGTTAGACTAGTGACTTATAATTTACACAGTGCTTAAATGCCTCAATGGCACCTCTGAGAGGTGAGGGACCCTCTTTTGCCCCCAAGAGTCAGTATACTAGTACCCTCCCCTGGTCCTCGCCCCTCCTGGGACCACGCTGCCTAGTTTCTCATCACTTGCCGCCAGCCCCCAGGGAATGCTTCCAGCGGGTGGAGTTCAAGTCTTGGGTGCAGAGAGACCCAAGGCAGAGACCAAGAACTGCCACCAGGAGCGTCCCCTTCCCAGAGAGAAGCCCACCTTGTTTCCTGTGCAGCCACCCTTGGCTGTTCTGGATCAAGGGCTTTCTTGAGTCTGACCTGAATTCTACAAACGCTGGGGGGTGGGCTAGGAAGCAAGGAGAGGGACATCAAAAAAAAAAAAAAAAAGAAAAGAAAAGGGACATCCCCCACACCCGGGCTTTTCTTTTAATGAAGCTGCTGTTCTATTCTGGGAGTCGTGCTCATTTGTCGAGGGGAGGCTGTCCTAGGAAGCCTGAGAAGGCGGCATGAATAAATCATAAAGTGCTTTACAAATCAGCATTAGCTAGAGCACGAGGGCTCGGGAAGCACGAGGGTGAGGTCTGGATCTCACCACCCCTGAGGATTAATTTATTGGCAGACCAGGCCATTTTGGAGTCATCTGAAGGGGAGCCCGCCTTCATGACCAAGGGGAAAGGCACAGAGGGACTCCTGCAGATTGAACTAGGTTTGCACAAGTGTGGGCAGATGTGGGCTGAGACGAAGTCACCTCCTGAGTCATTCCCAGGGAGAGGAATGAGCACCTGAATTTGAGCCTAATTGCCAGGCCCATGGGGCTCCACGTGGGTCCTCCATCTCTTGCAGGGTGTGTCTTGGTGCTGTTCTTGACTTGGTTCTCTTTTCTTTGGCCTAATGGTTGCCCCTAGCAAACCTCCCCCTGAGAGAGTGGGGAGCAGGAAGGAGAAGCAGGGCCTGTGGTGCAGTGAACAAGACCTTGAACACAGCCTTGGTGTTGCCCTCTGTAAAATGGGCATAACCATCCTCCCATGCAAGGATAGGGTTCAGACAGGCTGTCCCACATGTGGGGTGAGTGTGGGGTGGGAGCAGGGAGGAGAAGTGGACATCACAGTTTGTCCGGTGCCATTTCTTAGTGTCCAGCGCTGTGTTCTGTAAAGGTTGGGAAACAAGGTAGACCTTGACTTCAGGTTCAGATGTGGCTTAGTACATCAAGGTCATTGTGTTCTGCTGCTCTATACATTCCCCTTTGCTTTCCTTCTAGTGTTTCATATGGAAACAAAACCCAGTGGTAAGCTGTCACACCACCACAGGAAGATGTCAGTGACAGTCACAGATCAGGTCCTCTGGGGTCTGTACCTGGCTCGGAAGGGCTGTTCTAACCTGAATGGGGGATGGTGCATGTGTGACTCTGTGTGCACACACAAACATACACTCACACACAAGTCCTAGTGCTGAGCCTTTCTGGAACCTTCCAGCTGTCACTGCTGGTTTCAGCAAGTCTTACAAACAGCTCCTGCTACAGTGGTGCTGTCTCCCTGGACACTGCTGGTAGTGGTGTCACCATGGCAACGTGGCCCCTGTGGACACAGAGCAGCCTAGGAGGACAGGGCTGGGTGTTGGCCAGTGTGCAGTGCCAGGGGAACTGTGCCTGCTCACAGATGACCAGCTGACCCTGCTTGGGAAGCCTGGCCCCTAGCAGCTGGTGAGGTAGCCAGGCTAGTGACAAGAGAAAATGCATCATATTCCTTATGACGTCACAGGCAGAAATCCCGGCTGGAGCGTGGGAGGGTAAGAAGGGACTCCAAAGAGGATCGGGATGCCTGGCCGACCTGCAGCCTATCCCGGGGCAGCATTTCCCCAAGCTCACATCCACCTGAAACTCAGTATCATCAGCTGTGATTGCCCAGGGCTGGCTCTCTGCTGCCAGGTGCAGCCCCTCCTCCCACCCCCACGACCACCTGGCCAGGAGGGGCTCTCTGTCCCCATAGCACAAGACAGGAAGCCAGAAACCTGTCCTTCAGTGCCAGGGGCAGGACTGAGACTGCAAAGGAGCTCTTCGGGGCCAGAGAGATGCCTGCTATGTCTCGTCCTTTTCTTTTTTAAAAAATCCGTTGATTTTGTTGTTTGTCGTTGACCACCTTATTCCAGGAAAAATGGCCAACTGAGCTCCTAGGGTTCTTGTAAGCACAGACCCCAGCCGCAGTCTTTATCCATTCAGATCTTTAAGAATAAATATAATTCATATACCACAAAATTCACCCTTCTTGGTGTAGAGTGGTTTTAGTACATGAACTCAGTTTGGATCCACACCCAGAATACATCAGCGTCTAGCACAGACAGAGGCCCTACTGTACGACTGCTTGGGTTCAAATCCTAGTCCCATTACTTCCTATCTGTGCGACCTTGCTTAATTACTAACGTCTCTGAACCTCCAACTTTGCCTTACTCTTCTGTAAAATGGGGATGATAACAGAAGGATTGAGAGAGAACACATATGCAAAGCACTCAATACCATGTCTGTCACATAGTCAGAACCAAAGAAATGCTGTCACCTTGATGAGTGAGTGAGGAATGCTGGGGCTACGTCAGGTAACTGTTTACCCTGAACACCGCTGGCAGCAGAGCGAA